GGCATGTGTGTGTGTGTGTGTATGTATGTATACAAGTTTGTACAAAAGGAAATGCCTGTAAAGCAACTTTTCTTCGTCACATTATATAGAAACGCGAGATTTTCATAGAAAATGTCCACATTCCAAGGTTAAAGTTGCAAAAGAATAATTCTAGAAATGTTTCAGCTGTTGAGGCTGAACTAGATCCGTTGTCTTCCAGCAATCCATAAATCGTTTCTATCTTTTGGCTGCTAATAGTAAAAATTTATTTTCTCCTTTAAACTTGATCGATAGTTGATATTGGGAAACCTCTCATTGTAAATATCTATGGAAATGAGATGTCCTTGCCAAAAAAAAAAAAAAACATCTTGCAATGCTACCAGAGAGAAATGCTTTCTATAAACAGAATAATTAAAAATAACTTCAATGAGAACTTTTGAGAATCATTTAAACGAGGTCTTATCCAAACTGTCTTCTGTGCAAGGAGGGTGAATGATGAGCAAATAAGGGTTTGTCAAGCATCTACGACAGAGGACTATTACAAGCCCTGCAATCTGAATGACTTTGTTTCTATGTTCCTATGCTCTAATACTTAAAATGTTTATAATATTTTAATGTTTTCATGCTACATGTTTTATTTAGATGTTAATTTATATTCAATGTTTATTCACCGCTTGCGGTGGAGTGTTTGCACGCTCCAGCGAATGATATATGCATCAAAAGCTGCTGCTAAAAGAATTAAAAAAAAGTTTATATTGGTAATGCATTACTTTGCACGATAAAAGGCAGGTATAGTAAAATATATGCATGTGTCGTTAAATTTAATACATTATTTGTACAGAGGTAAATGAGAAAATGAATCAAATCAATATGACATTTTCAAGACAATATTTTTTAAAATTTATTTCCATTTTGTCAGTTGCTGACAGCGATGACTACCAATGTCGCGGTCTTGATGAATACGACGCATCAAAATTAGGAACAATCGAAAGTCCCTTTTTCGGTAAGAGAAACTATCATAATGGATTGTGGTGTGAATACAGAATCAGAGCTCCACAGGGATATGTAAGATATGTATATATTTCTTTAAATTTACATTTTGTAGCTAGATATAGCCTCCTAAATATTTTATTGCCCTTAAAGCAATTTTTATGAACAAATTTACTATTAAAAGAAATAAAATAATAGTTTCTAATCATACGTATCAACAGTAAATCCTTATAAATGTTTTGCTTTTATGTGATTCGATTGATTATAACTTAAATCTAATCAGTGTAGTGTATGATTTTTGTTTTTAATATTTTGAATCATATCGTATGGTGACATGATGGGTCTCCTTAAATGTTTGAATTCAGAAATTGTTTACTTCTTAAGCCGAGCACCATTCTCAAATTTAGCTGGAATATTTGTGAAACACATATTTCTTAATAAAGGTTTTTATAATATTTTCTGCCTGCTTTAGAAAAATAATGTCTGTTTAAATGTTCCTTTATTTTGGCTCTGAAAGAGTTTCTTTAAGTTAAAAAAAAATGCTTCCATATAAAATATAAATATTATACTTTTAAAGAAAAATTAATCGAGAATTCACGAAAGTATTTGGAACTCATTTCGAGAATGATGCTCCCAAAGTTTTTGTTTGAAGTTCGAAAAAAAGTACTTTTTTATTAATTAGCTTTGTCTTACTTAAACGTTATTTTTTTTTATTCTATTATATTCTTTTCAGTTTTGGGCTAGTTAGTTTGTTTAAGCAGAGTCAAAATTTTGAAGATATTATTTAGAGATAAAGTAACGATAGTTACTGCTGGTCATGTGAGAAAACATTGAATTATCATGCATCAGAGAGTTTCTGCTACAATTTTCATACTCCAGCTAGTCAGTTATGTTAAGCTATGCGATTCACTCTACTCATCGACAAAATTGTATTTCTATCAAATTGAAATCCCCTCTACTAATAGATACAAAAACTATGATGGTAACTAAGCATGCTCTATTTTACCTTCACAAGACGAGCATTCTATTATGGATCCAATTTCAATTGTCTATAAATACTTTCTTAACAAATTCAACATATATTAGTAACTGTATTATCTACTCAGATAAAAAATGTGTCGAAATTTAGAATTTAATTTTGATGCGGGGTTCATAATGGAATAAAGATGTATTTATTTTGTTATCTTCACATCATAAACTATGTGGAATGATATTTCTCAAATAAGAAAAATAAAAAAATACGATCACCAACAAGCGTTAACAATTTCAGCTGTAATAAATGTTTTTTTATTTTATTTTGCTTATTTATTGACCTCGCGAAGTAAGCATCGCCCTTGCGAAGGAAGATCCATGACAGAAGAAACATGGGCATTAGTGAAGGATCTATGACGTGAAGGAAGATTCATGATCGGCTCTTCCTTTGCAATTCGCATGAAATAAAATGTTTCTATTTTGTTATCAGTCAATTATACTTTTATCATTAACTGTGTGTAATGTATATTTCTCAGAATAAGAAATATTTCGTCATCAACAAGTATTATGTTATTCAAAAGTTAAAAAAGAAAAAAAAAGGAAGAACCAGGCGGAGGAAGAACCATGAATTGAAGACGATCCATTGATGAATCTTACTTCGTGATTCGCAGGAAAGAAATTGTTTTTATTTTGTTATCGGTCCATTATACTTTTATTATACACCGAAGAGCCATTACATTAAGACCATCCTGCTAATAACATGTAGGACCACCTTTAGCCCTCAAAACTGCTAGCACCCACCGTGGCATTGATTCCACAAGGTGCTGATAGGTAGTCTGAGGTATCTGGTACCAAGCACTCACGAACTGGTCCTGCAATTCCCTCTCATTGCGAGGGGGTAGCGTAGCATCACGAATTTGTCTTTCCAGGTCGAACCACAAATGCTCTATTGGATTAAGGTCAGGCGAATTTGGGGGCCGAGACATGACTTGAAAGTCACTGAAATGTTCCCCGAACCAATCCATAACGATTCGACCCTTATGACATGGTGCATTATCCTGTTGGTAAACACCATCCCCTGCAAGAAAAACTGTTGCCATGAATGGGTGAACCTGGTCTGCAACTATGTTCAAGTAGCTTACAGACGTCAGGGATTGTTCTACGAGGATTATGGGGGTCCTAATGTGCCCCATGAAAACATTGTTCCTGGGCGAGAAACCATGAAAACCTGGGCGAGCCCATTGTTATTGATGGAAGGTGGTCATAATGTAATGGCTCTTTGGTGTATATCGTGCTTAAGGATATTTCTCGAAATAACAAAAAATGCAGTTGCTTTATTCATTTTAAGAAATTCAACTCCAAAAAGTTTTTTTTAAATTTTTTTTTAAGAAAAATGAATTGAAAATTTCAAATTATGGGGTCCATAAGGGATGTACGAAGGTTAATTTAGTATTTGTTTACATAATATCGATAATGTAAATTTACATTTACTTTAAATGATATAAATTAATTTGTCTTGAACCTAGTATAAATTTATTAAAATATTTTTATCGTCGTTTTTGGTGAAATATATCAGCGTCCTTAATATTTTTATTTAAAAAAAATGATGTCGCATGAACTTTTTCATTCATTTTAGCGGAAAAGCTTTTCATTACGAAGGATAACATAAATAAATACCGTTTTCCTCCTTTCAGAGAATTAAGATAACCTTCTTAGAGTTCGACATTGATCCATCGAGAGGTTGTTCTCAAGACCAGCTTGTTTTCTTCGGAAAAGACAAGAAGTCAGTATTGGGCAATTTCTGTGGATACGAATTGCCAAAGCCCATACTTTCAAATGTAGGTGAAAATGAGATCCGTTCCCTTTTCCGAACAGATTTCATGGGATCAGGAAAAGGATTTAAAATTCAATACGAGTCTTCACCCTACTTCAGTAAGAGCTTATTTAGCTGAGCTTAAATGATTTTGTTTTAGACAATGCGTTTCTATGATTGAACCATAATTTCTCCTTTTTTTTTCAGAAATCTAAAGTGTCATTTTTTACCGTTCCAATATGCACATCTTGAAAAATAGTTTTTAAAAAAAAACTGCAATTGAAACTTCTCTGATGAAACATTTTAAAATATTTTAACATTTTAGTTGATCCTATTGTCTCCTTACTTATAACTTGAAAAATTAACTTAGTCGAATATACTGATTTAATTCATTATATCCATGGTGCAGATCAATTATTGAGTTAGACAACATATTGTTTTCATTCTTTGGTGCCTTTCAAAAATCATGCCGTTTTCAACTAAATTAAAACCAAAGATACATTTAAAGCTTCTGATTACTTGTTCGAAATAACACGTGTTTTAATAACAAACATATGAAAACTTCTTCTAGTTCGAAATTGTCAAGAAAGTGTGTTAAAATATTGATTCTTAGAATGTCTTAAACATATACGAAGTTTTTACTGTTAATTCTTCAAGAGATTTTTTTAAAGAAAAAAAATAATACATCAGGGAAAATACTTTTCTTCTAATGAGTTTCATGATATTAATAAATCTTAAAACAAATTGCATTAGTTTCAAGCAATTTTTTAAATTGTTTTTTGTTAAAATTCTCTACCTTAAAATTTTAATCTTTCTACTTATTATAAAATGTAAAAATTACTCTCTTCTCTCTCTTTGTAAAAAAGTCTGACAAGCTAATAACTCGAGCAAAAGTATGTCAGTAAGCTAATAACTCGGAAAACAAAGATTGTATTATTTTTCTATTTTTTCTAGGGGTGATTTGTAAACAATCTTCTTCTTCTGGCGTTTCGAGAAAAGTATTGAAAATACGAAATTCCAGCGTTGGAAACCGTCGATGGAATCGTCGTCATAGAAAAAAACGATCGCTGTCATGGAAACAGCATTTTATTTACAAAATATTTAAAAAACTACTTAAAAAAAATAATTTAAAAAAAATAGAAGCAGATGAAACTCTAAGAAAAAATTAAATATCCTTAAAGCTCACTAAATCTATACGTAAAGCAGAAGTAAAGCGTACTAGAAACAAATATGCCGAGTAACATTAATTATTGAAAACTGAAGAAATGTTAACTCCATCATGTTTCCACTCGAAGCCACGGTGATGGAGCAGCGTCGCACACGTCATACAACCACAAACCCGTTTGTAGGGCGGGTCACATTCACACAAAGGAGACACAGAGAGATAAAGAAACATCCATTCTCTGAACAGGATTCGAAACCGCGGCCGATGGCTCCGCAGTCAGACACGCTAACCACTCGGCCACCTGGTCGGCAACTCCCTAATGTTAAACATATAAATATGCTTTTTCTTATTCATCCAAACAGCATTTCAATTTCAAGGATTTTAAATATATTAAATTGTAACACTAAAACATTTTGATAATTAATTGTTAGCATATTTTTGATCTCAAACTTTATATGAAAATATCACAAATCAGTATTTACGGGTACCAAGTAGAACAACGCCAGGTTCTGATTCACATCCGATAATAGCGCACATCGAATATATAGTATACATTCCGATATTACTGTGAATGTTACTACATTTTATTTGGTTAACAAAAATATTTGCTTAACACAATTGGATTATAGTTGAAAAATATCGCGTACATCGTGGTATTAAAATTTGCACTCATTATGAATAGTATATGATAAACTATGTACAGTGGTTAGATGCCCTTAAACATACATAAATTATATATTTAAGTACACAAGACTTCTATTAGTCCATTCTCAATATTAATAAAAGTTTTTTTTTTATCATTCGTATAGGCTTAAGAGAGTTAAATAAAACTGGTTAACAGACTGAAGTTCACTTCAATTTACACAGGTATCAACTAAATATAAAGACATATTTTAACTTTTTAACCTAAATACTCAAAATACTTGGTTATGCTGTTTAGTTCTTGAACAGTTCCCTTAAGCTAAATTGCTTTTTAAAGTATTTTTTTTTGCTTTAAAATATATTGTTGACTGTTTTAGATCCATGTAAATTTTTTTATAAAAGAAATTAATACAAGTTAAGGCTTGTTTCGTTTTGGCGAAGTAACCCTTACAATTGTATATTTCATTATAGTAAAGAAGTGTATAATTTGGTTTACACAAAGCAGCTAATTTTATTTATTATTTATCAAAGTCACCATTTTAATGTTAGCATATGTTGTAATAAGCATTTTAATAACAAATTCACCACATGAACATGTAAGAGGCGAAATGAGTAATATGAGTTTATTATACTTAGAAGTATGTCCTGATGTTTGAATGCAGGATCTCGAAATACTCTATTTATTTTTAAAAAATGTTCTCTGGAGGCATATCAATAACATCTGCTATCACGTAAATTGAGCTTTTATTTAGATGCCAAAGTAATCCATGTTCACTTTCAATTATTCTGATGAAACACAGACATTATATCTGTTATTTATTTTAACAGCAAGTGTGTGCGAGGCTGGTGAAACTCAATGCGTGAACAGAAACTGTTTCACCAAAAATCAGAAGTGTAATGGAATGGATGACTGCGGTGACGGAACTGACGAAGAAGATTGCGGTAAGGATAAACTTGAAACTAAATCTACTCCATTGCAATGAATACCCTTGTTTCATGCAGCATTTCAAAATTTAATTTTCACACCTTAAAAAATAGATTTAAAATAATTTTCTCGTTAATAAAAACCTAATTTCTTCGTTTCTGAGAAATTTAACATACCAACGGTGCAAAGAAATTTATTTTTCAGGTTTTGCATACAAGAAAATATTTATTCAAATACAAAAATAATCGTGTATGTTGCTCTTTTTTATTTCATTTTTTTTCGTATTTTGTGAATATAATTTAGCATGTGCGTATCAGAAATTTTCTCGAAGAAATTCTCCGATTTATCTTTTTGAAACCACTCATTTTGTACGAAAATATTTAAACACGCATTTGTAAATTTAAAATGTAAATATCTATTCTCTGGTGGTTGCAGCAGACAAACCTCAAATTTCTCACTGAATATTTTGTGTGCTACTATATAAGTTTTAATAGAATTAGATATCTGTTGCACATTAATTGTTTAATACTTAGGTGATCACTTGAAAGTTATTGCAGCCCGAATTTTTATTATTTATTTAATATTTTTAAAAATATTATTAATAACAATTAAATATTTCTAAAAATATACTTCTTATTTTAATTTGTAATTCAATACTTTTGTTTTGTACTACTTGATAAAACTCCGACAGTAATATGTATGTTCCTTCAAACATAAAAGAGTCTTACAAAAAATTTTGATAAAGTTGCGGCCCGCCAT